AAATGTGCTTGAGATTTTACAGGATCTTTTTTAATATCATTATAAATAGTAAAATGTTATTATTAATTTAGATATAAGTTTTACAAGATCGGATTTACGAACTTTACTAGGCCAACTATTCGGACTTATCGTTCAAGATACAACATGCTCCAATTCCCTATCCAAATGTATTCTTCATAACGTCTTCAATAAACTTTTTCAACGCAACCCTCGACGATCCACCGTCCATCAAAGCCTCGTGGCACTTGTCGCTCATCTCCTTCACTCTCTTCCTCACGTCACTCTCTTGCTCCATCAAACACCTAATCCCTCTCTCTATCTCATCCGCCTTCACGGTCTCCATAGCCGCCGCTCCGGCCATAAGATCGCCTCTCCAATGCTTCTTTATCTCCACCGCCAATCCAAGCTCCTCCACCATCAGAAACGCGTTAAATTTCTGCTCTGCATATAACGGCCACGGTGCCGTCGGAACGCCGAACCAGAGGCTCTCTAACGTCGAATTCCACCCGCAATGAGTAACAAAACCTCCGATCGCCGAATTCGCTAGCACCGCCACCTGTGGAGCCCATCCGATCACTCTCCCTCTCTCTTTAGTCCGATCAAAGAATCCTTCCGGGAGAATCTCCTCAAGATTCACGAACTCTCCAGGAGATTTTGTACCCGGAGATGCGCGACGAAGCGACCAGAGGAAACGGTGGCCGCTTCGTTCGAGCGCGACTGCGATTTCTCTAGCTTGTTCCTCACTGAATCCTCCCATGCTCCCGAAACAGAGGAACACTATCGATTTCTCCGGTTGCTCGTCAAGCCATTCGAAAATCTCCGATTGCTTCTTGGATTCGTCAGCGAGATGCAACAGTGGTCCTACTGGATAAACAGGAGGAGCATCATCATAACCACCACTCGATAGATACTTCAACGCATGAGGTTCAAGGTCAGCGAATGTATTTACCAAAATACCCTTCATCCCTCTGAATCTTCTCGCTTGAGTTATAAAGATCTGTTGCCACTCTTTCGATACGAGAGCATAAGGAAGCCATTTCACCGGATAAGGACGAGCCAAGCTCGGTACGATCAACTCGGACTCCGAGTCTTGGAACTCGGTTTCGCTCACGTCGTATTTACCATCATCGTACAGTCTCTGGACGTGAAATCCGAGTCCGAGAACACCAGCGTTAGAGGTGTAAAAGAGATAACTCGGAAGACCAAACTCGTTCGCGACGTCGATCACGGAGGTGCAGAACATGTCGACGACGAAGCCAGCGATTTTCGGCGAGTTTGGTGACGTCGAGTAGTCGTGGACGAGTTTCGCAGTGACGCGTCTCACCTCTGGAATCTGATTCTCGACATGTGAGTCAAGATTCCTCGGCTCGGAGGATTGTTGGTTTTCGCCGGAAATGACTTCGTAGCGGATACGGTGGTCGGAGGATGCGGCGGAGAGAACAGGATCACCGACTTCGCCACCGTAAAGAGTAGGGAGGATGAGTACGGTGATGGAGAGGCGAGTTTCTTGGTCGACTAGTAGCTTTGCCATCTCCACCGTTGATCTGAGGTGGCTGATTCCAGGATAAGGTACGAACACGAGCTCAGATTTCATGTTTATCGTAATCTGTCTCTTTCCTTGTTTCGGTGCTTTTGTCTGAATTTTGGAGATGATAACGCAGAGGACAAGTACCATATAACCTCTATACTAGTACTAGCTTTTGCGGAAACGAACAAAATCTACAAAATTAAATATTTTAAAAGTTTACTAACTTTGACAAAAAGAAATAAAATCTAGAGTACATTTAATTATTTTTAAAAAAAAATCATTCTAAACTACACGAAATATATTACAATGCATAACTACACATCCAAACTAAATTAATGTATCAAAATCTACGTCAAATATTGAATTTGCATGATGACATTCACGAACAAACATAGGTTATGTGACTAACACCATAACCATCACTTTTGTCCTGGTTTTGGTGTACCATACGACGGAACCGGTAAAGTCCGATTAATTTAATCGAAACCATTTAAATTGTCTCAAACTAAGTCAATTTTTAACCAAACAAAACCAAACCAGCCCACAATATTATAAGTTCAATTGTATTGATTTAGACTTGTAAATAGTCATTATTCACCTAAGGTTTTTGAGAGAGAAAAAGGATCGTCATGTTCACTTGAAACTGGACGCGTCTGCTCGAATTACTGCTTGGAAGCTCAAGTAGAAGTGAGCATTTCTTCAAATGCACCGCAAGGAAGCCAATTGGCTAGATTGCTTTTTGGATGATAAAGAGACTACAAAGACTATTTTTTATATTAGCAAGCACATTTTGGGATGTTTCGATAATCGGCTACTTCTTTTTTGAGATTTTTTTGGCAAGCCAATCGACTTATTTTTGTTTTTTCAGTTTTTTTGGATCAATTTGTTTTGTTTGAATTTATTATTGCACTTACTTGTCTTTGTACTGGATTCATATTAACGTAAATAACATAAACTAGTAGTTCCAAATATATTAGAAGGCCATTGTTACTTAAAAAACACAATCGATTAGCTTGAGTTTTGGGTTAGTTACTTACCAGGCCGGGTAATGTTTTTTTATCAATTCGGGTCTAATCGGATTTTATCGGTTCCATCGTGCAGTATACCAAAACCGTGATAAAAGTGGGTTATATATGGTGTTAGCCAAATAACCTATGTTTGTTCGTAAATATTATCATGCAAATTTAATACTTGGTGTAGATTTTGATACATTAGTTTAGTTTGAATGTGTAACCATGCGTTGGAATATGATTTTTTCTATTTAAATGTTTAGTAACTTTTGCAAAAAGGGAAAAAATCTAGTCCACTAAATTAAATATTTTTAATGTTTTGGCTTCTTCCGGTTCCGGTTTAGGACTTCTTGTTGGGTTTAATACTTATTGGGCTTAATAAGACAGCCCATTTGTATTTATTGGGCTATACAGAAAACAAAACCCTAAATAAAAAGAAACGATGTTGTCGCCGCTTAAGAAGTCGGGAAACCCTAATTTCCAAAGCTGATCCATTAGTGTCCGTGTGTGTATTTATACACTTCGTCTTCTTCAACCTCTTTAATTCACGATAAACTTCTTTCGTTCTCTTTACTCTTTCTTTTGTTTTTTCGATTAGGTTTCTTAGGGTTTTGTTTTCGTTAGAAACCATTTATTTGTTTTTAGATTTTGGGGGTCGTAAAGAGGATATGGTGATGATACGAATATTTCGTGGACTAGAGTTTCAGATCTGGGCTCTTCACCCAGAACTTGAAGAAACATCCCTTGGCTGTCTGAGTATCCCTTTGTTCCCCCTATTACAATCATCGATTTGAATTCTTTTTTTTTTCTGTCTTTAGTTTTGAGTATTAAATCAGCCGATGAGGATAGAACAATTTATCTTAGCGGATTTCAGTGAGGTTTTTAATCAATGATCTGAATTGTTACACACACTGAGGCTCTTTTTTATTGCTTTTTTTCTGATTTGTTTTTGGGGGAATTTTTTTGATGCAATGATGATACAATTGCACGGAGGTGCATGAAGGGCAGTGGACAAAACAATTGAATTTGTTTTGCCGTGAGCTCTCTTAATAAAACGACTTCTCCTTCCACTGAGCATATCAGATTTCCCTTTGTTTTGATGTTTATGTATGTGAATGAATGCGTCCATTACCAATTCTGGGGATAAATCTGTTCCTACAGGTATAATGGCATTGACGCGAGATTGATTGTGGTATATCCTGATCATTTGACTTTTGTTCTATGTCACTTGATCCTGGAATTGCCTCACACATTTGATGAGATTATTACCACGAATTGGTCCTTTTTGTAAATCCGATTTGATGTGTTTTTTTTTTGGTTATAGACCATGTTTGGATTTGAGATGAGTAATGCGATGACTTAGCAATTTCT